ATTTGAGAGGTAGAATTACAGAGGGTGGCGCCACACACAGAGAGAGAGAGAGAGAGAGATCTTCCATACACTGGCTTACTCCCCAAATAGCTACAGGAGCCTAGAACTCATCTGGGTTTCGCACGGGGGGTGCAGGGACTCAAGTACTTGGGCCACCCTCTACTGCTTTCCTGGGTGCATTAGCAGGGAGCTGGATGGGAAGTGGCACAGCCAAGATTTCAAACTATGCCCACATGGGCTGCTGGCATGGCTGGTGGCAGCTTAACCCACTGTACCCCGATGCCGACCCTAAAGGGAAAATAACTTGAAAACAAGTTATTATTTCACAGTAGATAAGAGTAAAGAACCCAGATTCTGTCATTCTGCCTTAATGGCTTGGCTGGGGGCTGTGTGAACTCCAGGCCTGATAGTCTACGTGACACCCGGCAGGACGCCTGGCAGGTCACCTTGGCAGACCACTCCTCAGGGAGGAGGTACCTGCTGTTTGATAAGATTCACAGCCCAATAGCTCATCGATTTGTACCTTTTGAAAGTTGCTTGCTTCAAACCCACCAATAGAAGCCTGCTAAAGCATGACTGTATAATTAATAGACTGAAATGTATAAGAACGCTGTACTGTTGGGGGGGGGGAAGAGCGGGAGGGGGCGCCTCTCTCTTTTTCCCTCCCTGCTGTTCCTGCAGCAGCCTCGGCTGCGGCGGGCCCTCCCCCTCCAGCCCTGCTGGGCTGCGGGCGAGGTGGCTGGGAGATCTAGGTTAACCTGAATAAACCACCTTAACGCCTTAGCACCGACTTCAGACTTGATTTTCTGGGGATACCAAAATCCAGCAAAACAAGAGAACGCGCACTCGTAACTATGGGTTCACTCCCTTAAATGCCCTCCACACCGGAGTTGGGCCAGACTTCAGTCAGGAGCCCGGATCTGACACGTGGGTTGGGGGGATGCAGATACCATCTCACGCCACCTGCTCTCTCCCAGGTGCGCACTTAGCAGGAAGCTGGGTTCCGGAGAGCAGGCAGGACTCCAACCTGGGACCGTGGGCTGCGCCAAACGCCTTCCCCAAAGGAAAACGATTGTTACTATGAAGTCAAAGACGAACAAAGGGCATAGCCGGAAAACTCAAAACAGTGTACAAAACAAGGCGACTCTGTCGGGCTCCGTCTACCACGGTGAGGTGTGTAGGCGCACAGCGCGGCCGGGCTGGGAAGAGTGGCGCTCGCCGAGGCCAGCTCGCGGTCGGCGGTGGGCGGCCGGCAGGGCAGGGCCAGGAGGGAGGGCGCCACCATGGGCCCCCATCCTCCACGCGGCACGTCTGGGGGGGCGCCCTCTAGGGTCCCAGTGCACCCCACTCCGCCCCAGACGGAGGGTCGTGGTGCCTCTCCGAGCCGCCCGCGGCCTGCGCTGGCCGGGGATTCTCCCCGCGGCTGGTCCGGGGCGCAGCAGTCGTCCCCGCGCCAGGCCGGCCGCCAGCCCACGCCCAGGATCCAGGTCTCCGGTGGCTCGCGGCCTTGCGCTTCCCGGGTTGGGCTCGACTGGGCTCGGCGGGCGGCGGGAGGAGGAGGAGGAGTAGTGGGAGGAGGAGGAGGAGGAGGGAGCCGGCGGGAGGGCGGAAGGGGGAGGAGAGGAGCCGAGCGAGTCCAGCGGAGGGGGCCCGGAGCGCCGACCTGAGGACACGGAGCAGCGGCCCCCGGCCCGGCCAACCTCGCGCGCCGCCGCCGAGTGAGTGGGGACCCCCGGCGGGTGCCCGGGGCGCGGTGGCGCGTGGGGTGGACGCTGCGCGCAAGGGCCGCGCCGAAGTTGCGCGAGCCGGGCGGCTCCGCGGGGAGGGCCGGGCGGGCGAGGGCGCGAGAGGGGCGAGGCGGGAGCCAGCGCCGGGCGCACGCCCTAGACAACCGGGCGGGGAAGGCAGCGGTCGGCCCGGGGGCCCTGCCCGGCGCGCTCATGGCGGCGGCCCCGAGGCGGACGGGCGAGCCGGGCGAGCGCCTGGCTGCCGAGGCCGGGCTCCCAGCGCCGCCCCCGGGCAGTCTGGCCCAGGCTCGGCGGCTCTCCAGTCCGCCACCCCGGGCGCCGAGCAGCTTTCCTGGGCAACAGGTGGCGAGGAGAGCTGCTCGCGGAGGGGCCCGGGCCCCAGGCGCCCTTTGTTGGGTCGGAAAGGAGCTTGACGACCCGTTTGCACGAGAGCCCCCCACAGCCCAGCAGTGGCCCACCGCGGAGGCCCCCAGCCTGGCCCGGCCCGCAGACGAAGCGGGAGCAGAGTGGAGGGGAAGGTCTAGCTGCCTTTTCTTCTCTCATTGGCCTCTCAGTGCCCACCCCGGGGAGGGGAGCGCCGAGCGTCCATGTGCTTAACGGGAAACAGGAAGGAGTGGCTGTGCTTGCCCGCCCCGGCCCCCCGAGGCTCCGGCTCCTATACCGTTATGGGGTGTGAGTGGCTGGCTGGGGAGCTGCTGGTGGAACTGGCTTTCTGGGCGGTAGCTGGCTAATTAGCGCCCTAGAGGCCCTCCAGCTGCAGGTGTGTAGCATTCAGTTTTGGCTCCCGACTTCCTCCACCCAGTCAACCTCCTAGCACACGCACGGGGGTGGTCTGAGCCACCTGAGTTGGAAGGAGGGCTACCGACTCCCAGGCAGGGAGTGGGATTAGAGGGGGTATAGAGGAGCCCGAGGCTTGGCGTGAACCCCTCTTCCTAAACTACTGAGCGGGGGCGGGGGGGGGAGGCCCCTGGCAGGCATTCGCTGCCCTCTTTCCCCCAAGCCCTCTGAGGTGCTAAGGTGGGAGAAGTGGGTCCCTGGTGCATGGCAGAATTGGGTGTGCCTGTGTGAATGCATTCGTGATGGGATTCCCAAGAGGAAGGATTTGTCCGCAACCTTGCCCCAGGCCCCAAGTGGGGTGTCCTGCACAGGCTGTTGCACAAAGAGGATGCCCCAGGCTCACCTTCCTCACTGGGGACCCTCTGGCCAGACTTGCCCTTCCCCCCAGGCCTCCCCATCCCTGTCCTGGCCCCAGGCTGGCTGACCCCCTGCTGTTGCCCTGCCCTACCCTTTCCCACCTTCCGACCTAAATTTCTGGCCCTCCCGGGTCGCCTGGGGCGTGCCACACCTCTTCTGGGCTTCATCCTTTGTTTGCAGCCTTCTAGATCTTGACCTGCTGCTGCTGCTGTGTGCAATTTCCAGGAGGAAGACTGCAGGCCTTCTTCTAACTGTGTCTCTGCAGAGTCCCTGGGGCTGCAGTGGAATGGAAGGGGAGGGGAAGGAGGCTAGGGGGAACCCCACATTCCTTAGTTATTCCTCCAAACTCCAATCAGAGCAGTGTTGCTCCTGCTGGCACCCCGAGTCTGGGAAAGGATCCACTGGAGGAGACCCTTTGCCTTTTTTGGTTCACCTAGGAGGGTCTGGCTGGAGTAGGGTGAGGGGATGGTTGTTGGTGGGAATAGGGGGCTGAGATTTGGGCTGCGCCTAGCCCAGCTCCAGTTCCCCAGTAACCCAATGCCAGTGCAATCCCTGCTCCGCTGGCTGCTCTCCAGTCTGTGCTGGCTGCACAAGCTGGTGTGTGTCCGGGTAGGTGTGTTAGGGGGTGAGAGCTGGGGGTATGTGAAGACACACTCGCTGCTTGTCCGGGTAGGGACACAGTGTTCAGAAGTAGTTAGTTCCAGCAGGGTATGTGTGTGTGTGTGTGGGGGGGGGGGATCAAGTAGGCCCCTACCCTTTGGGAAGCTGGGAGAGGAGGGCTGTCTCCTTCCCCCAGGGTGCACACCAGCCACCTTTGCCCGCCCTGGCCTCTTGTGGCTCAGCTCTCTTGTTTGGGTTGGCTGCTGCTGCGAGAAAGCTGCTGGGCTGCCCCCCAGGAGTAGATGCCTCAGGGTCCTGTGAGTGAAGCCAGCTGAAAGCCCCACTTGTTGTGTTTCCTCCCAGTGTTGTTGAGTCCTGACCCTGCTGAATCGCTGAATGGGGCCTCTCTCTGGTTGGCCAGGCCTGGGGGGCAGGGGAGATGATGAGGATGGTGGTGGCTGAGGGGGATACAGGTTCACTTAAGAGTCCCCCCACCCCCGCAGGTCTTGTGCTCCTGTCTTGTGCTGCACCTACTCCATGAGGAACAGCCTGGGTGGGTGCTGGCTTGTCAAGCTGGCCGGATGCTTGCCTGCCTCTCCCCACTGCATAAGACATTCCTGGGCCCCAGGGAGTCCAGGACCCCAGCCAGCCGTTTGCATGCTTAAGTCTGCAATGCCAGTCTGTTGAGCAGGAAGGATGGGGCCTTGTCCTTGGAGGAGAAGTGAGGCTAGCCACAGCAGTCAGGTGACCAGGTGCAGGTGTGCTATCCCACCTTCCACCAGCCTGGGCAAAGGGAAGAGGGGGAGATACCAGATGCTTTAAGGGGTGTGCTTTACTCCGTTTTCTAGGGAAAGTGTGTGCATGTTGGAAGTTTCACTGTGGGCAAATTTTTCCCCCATTTTTTATTATATTTTTGACAAAAAGGTTCAAGGGCTACAGGAAACTGGTAAGACTGTTATTTCCACATTGTTTCCTTCATGTATCTGAGGTAAAAGGGGATTTTAAGGGAGAAGCCCCACCCAGTCTCCCACCCACCCCAGGTCCCCGACGTGGGGCATGCTTCGAGGGTCTTGCTCAAGTGGTTTTGATAGTTCAACAGTTATGAATTGCTGCCAATCTCGCCACTCACTGTGGGCAATTTTATCTAATTTGTTCGGTTCAGAAGGCTTCTACCTCCTTCACTAATTAAATATTTATTCTGGCTAAAGTGGAGGGGGAAAGGGCAGTTCCCTCAGGGGTGCTGAGGAGAGCAGGCTAGTGGGAGGGGGAGGCAGAGCTTCTTTGTTGTCAGTGCTGACCTCTGATGAGAGAGAGAGAGAGAGAGAGCCAGCCAGCCAGCCAGCCAGCCAGCCAGCCAGCCAGCCAGCCAGCCAGAGAGCAGTGACCAGGAGTGGGGACGAGAGGGTAAAGTCCTTGAGCTGGAATACTGACCCGTGACAGGCTGAGAGGATTTCGAAAGTACTTCCGTGGTGGGGGGTGGAGCTGTGAGAAGAGCCAGGGGGAAGGACCCGCCTTGCTCCCCACTCCGCTCACTTGCTCTAGTCCCAGGTCTGTCTGCATTCAGTCGCACCATGGGCCTCCAGTAGAGAACAGGCTCCTCTCTCCTCCCAGGCTTGGTGCCTCACCCAGGGGTCTCCAGCATCAGCATCCCGTGGCCCGCCACCTCTCCTGGCTTCCCTTCAGGTGGAGAACCTGCAGCTGCCTGGCTGCTCTGAGAAACCTGGGACAGCTTCCTCCTCAGCTCCTTAGGCTGTTGCGCATCCGGGGTGCTGCCGGCTCTTCAGGGCCATCTCCTGTTGCTTTGAGCTCCAGGCGGTGGCTATCATTTCCTAATCCCTGTGTGTGGGGGGAAGTGGGGGTGTGAGGCAGTGGGATCTTCCTTCCTGGATTGAGGGGCTCTTAACGTTGGGGTGTCCCTCTGCAGGTCCCTCCCCCAGGCATCTAGGTCCCTGCCTTGACCTTCACTGTCTGTGAAGTGGCTTGCAGATCTCAGGTGGTCCTGCAAGGGGCTGTCCGGTTTGTCACTAGGTATCACCCTTCTGAGCAATCATACTGTGTCCACTGATGAGTCAGGAATCAGCATCATTTGGGGGTGTGATTTTTGCTTTATCATGGCCTATTTGCTCAAGCGGCTTCCCATCAGATGTGTCATAGGGGAAGGAGAGGGTGGGTTTGTTTGGGCTGTGCTGTCTTGTTCTGGGTCTCCCTCTTGTGCTGCCAATCTGCCACCTGTGGGTTGGCTTGAAGGGGCAGGTGTGAATGGGGCGGCTGTAGAGTAGGGGCATTGGGAGAAAGGCACCTCTAATTTTACTCAGGCTTTTGGCTGTAGCTTCTAGGGCCAGGTCTTGCCCATTCCTCCTGCGCACCAGCACTGCCATGGGAGCGGGGCTGGCATAATCACCACAAAGAGAGATACAGAGAGGTGCTCAGTGCCACATGGCCAGAACTAGGGGCCTTTGGGTCTTTCTGGGTTCCCAGAAACCAGGGCTGGGGGCTGGAATATGTAGCCCTGGCTGTTTTTGATCAACGTCTTTCTCTTCTCTCATAGCTGTCCCCTCCTGATGCCCTCTCCCTTGCCCCTCCTCTGCCAGGATGCTCCAGACCTTGTATGACTACTTCTGGTGGGAACGCCTGTGGCTTCCTGGGAACTTAACCTGGGCCGACCTAGAAGACCGAGATGGACGTATCTATGCCAAAGCCTCGGACCTCTACATCACACTGCCCCTCGCCTTGGTCTTCCTCATCATTCGTTACTTCTTTGAGCTGTGAGCACACCACTTGCCTTCCCCAGCTGCACATCGCTCTGTCTTGGACTTGGGACTTGTGGTTTGCTGTTTGCCTGGTGTTGGGGCTCCCCAGGCCCTGGCCCACTGTACCCCCTGCCTGCCAAGGGACCATTGTCTCTCCGAGAGCTTTCCTTCAATGCTTTTTTGTTCTCACCCTCCACCCGCCACCCCGCCTGGCCACTGCCGAACACAGGCAGCTTTGTCAGCCAGGACAGCCTGACGAGTCCAGACAAAGAGCTGCCAGGGAAATGGGGAAACTGAGTCCCAGAATAATGTTGCTTGAGTGTGCAGGCCTTCTCTGCTGCTCAGGCTTGGGGGCTGTGAGGGCTGCCAGCATGGGGCACCTCACTCATACTCCTTTTGCAGTTACGTAGCCACTCCCCTGGCGGCCCTCCTGAATGTCAAGGAGAAAGCACGGCTGCGGGCCCCTCCCAATGCCACCCTAGAGCACTTCTACCTGACCAGCGGCAAGCAGCCCAAGCAGGTAGGATGATGGGAAGGGGCAAGGGTTGAGTGCCAACCCTGGAATGGTGCTGGCTGGAGAGCTGGGAGGGGTGTGCCACTGAGTCCTGAAGCTGTCCTCTATCCTCTGCACCCCCCTCCCCCCCCCACCTCTGCAGGCAGAGGTGGAGCTGCTGTCCCGGCAGAGTGGGCTGTCTGGCCGGCAGGTAGAGCGCTGGTTCCGCCGCCGCCGCAATCAGGACCGGCCCAGTCTGCTTAAGAAGTTCCGAGAAGCCAGGTTGGTGGGAGTTGGCTGGGGCATGCAGAAGTGGGTGGCAGAGGAAGGTGTGATGCAACTGGATCTGGAGGGGAGGCGACTTGGGTCTCTGGGGCTGTCAGGCCATCCTCCCATCCCCCCACCTCACCTGTCTTCTGCTCCCTTCCAGCTGGAGGTTCACGTTTTACCTGGTGGCCTTCATCGCTGGCATGGCTGTCATCATGGATGTGAGTAAGGGTTCCTGGTGAGGATGGGGGATGAAGCCAGGGAGTTTGGGTGCTTCTCTGAATGTCTCACCGTCTCTGCAGAAACCCTGGTTCTACGATTTGAGGAAAGTGTGGGAAGGCTATCCCATCCAGGTAGGAGCTAGGTCCCGCTTCCGTCCATGGGCTGGGTGGGCCTGGAGTCCCGGGCTGGGGTATGCCTGGAGCAGTGAGCCCCCTGGGGCTGCTGCTCTGCAAAGTCCCTCAGCCCCGTCTTCCACTCCAGAGCATCGTCCCTTCCCAGTACTGGTACTACATGATCGAGCTCTCCTTCTACTGGTCCCTGCTCTTCAGTATCGCCTCTGATGTCAAGCGGAAGGTGGGTGAAGGCTTGTAGCTGAGCTGTGGGGGGCGTGAGCGCTGGCCTCACAAAGCTGTCCTCTGGTCTGTGGGTGCTTTGGACGGTGCTCCTGCAACCTGGGAGACGAAGTGAAGTGGGGGGAGGACTAGTGGGATCCAAGTCCTCTGGGACCTGTGTCTTTTCTGAAGGATTTCAAGGAACAGATCATCCACCACGTGGCCACAATCATCCTCATCAGCTTCTCCTGGTTTGCTAACTATGTCCGAGCCGGGACGCTCATCATGGCCCTGCATGACTCTTCGGACTACCTGCTGGAGGTCAGAGACCTAGGTTCTAGGTGGGGAGGGGGACTGAGGAGACGGTTACAGAACGGATACTGTTCATGGGGGTGTGTGCACGTGAATGCCCGGGATGATAGCCGCAGCGGGGTGGTGTGCTCTTTGTGCAGTCAGCCAAGATGTTCAATTACGCCGGGTGGAAGAACACCTGCAACAACATCTTCATCGTCTTCGCTGTCGTGTTCATCATCACCCGGCTGGTCATCCTGCCCTTCTGGTGAGGCGGCAGCCGGGCTGCACCGGCTCCTGGGAAGCGCCCCCACCCCCACTGTCCCGTGTTTGTAATCCTGCCTCTTCCGGCATCCTCAGGATCCTGTATTGCACACTGGTGTACCCACTGGAGCTCTATCCTGCCTTCTTTGGCTATTACTTCTTCAACCTCATGATGGGAGTGCTGCAGCTGCTGCATATCTTCTGGGCCTACCTCATTTTGCGCATGGCCCACAAGTTCATAACTGGAAAGGTGAGGGCTCTGACCCCTTGGTTTGCGCCCACCATCCCCCCACCCCCAGAACCACAACAGGACCCTGGGTACTGTGGGGACCAGCCCTGCCCCCCGCCCAGCAGTCCAAGGAGTGTGAGACCACCTGACCTATCCTTCTCTTTGCACAGCTGGTGGAAGATGAACGCAGTGACCGGGAAGAAACAGAGAGCTCTGAGGGGGAGGAGGCTATGGCTGGGGGAGGAACCAAGAGCCGGCCTCTGGCCAATGGCCACCCTGTCCTCAACCACCACCATCCTAAGAATGACTGAACCATTGTCCCAGCGGCCAGCCTTGCATATTCATGCAGAAAGAACTGCCCCACCTTCCCGACAGGGCCACTCCAAGTTTTGGGGAGAAAGTGGGAGGAAGGGCTTGGGTTCTTCCTCCCTGCTGCTTTGTCACCCAGAGGCCTCTAAACCAAATTCTAACCAGCTTATCCCCAGGTAGAGGGGAGGCTGCTTGCTTCCTCCGTCAAAGGAGAGATGGTCTTACTTTCCCCTCTGTCTTCCAAGTTGTCCTTTCAGTTGTTTTGGGGACCCTTCCTTAGCTCCGGGGAGGGGCAGGGGTCACCAGTCACATTCCTCCTCCTTTAGAAATCTGGCCCCAGCTGTTTACCCTTGACCTCCAGAGCCAGGACCGTGCCTTACTGTCCCACGTGTGGGCCTGCCAAAGCTGGACCAAGGCACCCCTAAAGACTCCCTAACTCCAGAAACCAAAGCTGAGCTGACTTTTTAACTCCTTCCCTCCTAAGACACAGATGCATCCAGCATGGGAGGGGGCACCTGACCCTTACCCTACCTCTGCCAAGCACAGGCGCTGTCCTCCTGGGGACTGGGCGCATGGACTTCGTGCTCTTTCTCCGCCAGTCGTCCCTGCAGCCAAAGGTCCAAGACCTTACAGCCTCCTTTCTTCTCTTCAGCTAGGCTAGCTGGTTTGGAGTAGAATGGCAACTACTTTCTAATTTTTATTTATTAAACATTTCGAGGGTTTTGGTTTTTAAAGCCAGAATTACAGTTAACACCTGGCTGGCTTTTCAGCAGAGGGACCATTTCACACCAAAATGTACTGTTAATGGATGGTTTTTTTTTTTTTAATTAAAATACATTAAAGATGAAATAAAACATGGTAACAAGTGTCGAGGCTGTTTTAGGAGCTGAGAAGTGGACCAGCTAAATAAACTAAGGTAGTCTGTCTTGTGCTTTCCTTGCACTTAGGAAACATGTATTTTATGTGGTTTACATAGTTGAGAGGGATGCACGTCTGTGTGCGGAGGTTCCAGGGGCCATTCCTTGCTGTCAAATTACACCATGGAGGATGGCCATTTGATGATGCTCCAGAGACCCCAATGTGGGATATGTTTCGTTGTATTTCCCATAGTGAGTATGAAAGGTAGAAGATGATGGCTGCCCATGGTGAAGGGGAAACCAAGGGAAAAAAGCCCAGTCACATCTATTTTAACCATCTTGTTAAAAGTCTTTCAAGAAACAGTACAAACTGGGGATCATGGATGCACAGCTCCTGCTCGGGAATGACGCTGGCTGGAGGCACCAACACTTGCACACACGTGGTGGGAGGGAAGGGTGAATGACAGTGCTGAGGGGGGTCAGGCCCAGGTGACAGTGGTCATGTTTTCCCACCTCCCAGCGCCTCAGGGCATGAAGGAACCCTGCCTACTAGCACCAAGATGGAAAGAATCTCCTGACCCAGAACCCTAGCCTCCCCCCCCCCCGCCGGGCCTATCCACTAGGAGCTGGGCAGGTGGGTCAGAGTTCAACAGTCAGGAAGATCCAGTTCCTGAGGAAAGGACAGTTCCAGAAGGGTTCCGAAGGGAAGGAGGCGGGTCTCTAGAGAAGCCGCCCTCTGCACTCGATGGCTCCGCAGCAGCAGAGGAGCTCCTTGCCTTCCACGCTGCCCACCTCATAGTTGTAGTCCCAAGTAAGTTCTGTCCCAGCCCGGATTCTCCTGAGGAGGAAGAAAGGGGTGGCTGGTGTAGTGACGGAAGCGGACGTGTGGGTGGAGCTGGGTCATGGACATTAGACGGGCCCTTAAAACTCCAACAGGGCCTTGCTCCTCCCCAGCCACCCCCTTTGGTAAGCCCTGTCTTACTTGCTGGCAAAGAAGGCCACCCAGGGGAAGCGAAGATCATGAGTGTCCACGAAGACATTCTGGACAAACAGGTTGGGGCTGCAACTGTGCTGCAGATTAGGAATAGAATAAAGTGAGTTGCAGGAGAAATAGTCTGGCTCTGTGGGGTCAGAGCTGTGAGGGAAAGGATGCCACCTGCACTCCCTATCCCACAGGACAGGTTTGCAACACATGCTACATCTTTGAGATCTGGAAAGCACAGCAGGGAAAGGGTAAAGGTTTAGGTAGGTGCCTTAAATAATTGGGTATCTGAAGACCTCCACGGGGCGGGAAGGGGTCTTACATTGAGGTAGCGGCCCAGGTTGCCTTCCAGCTTGGCATCAATGATGTAACAAGACTCCTCACCATCGTAGAACTGGCGTGTGTTTTTACGAACTGGTGCACTGTCCCCCTTTTCCACGGAGGCCATGTTGGTTGACTTAATGGCAATCCCATGGGTCGATTTAAGAGCAAAGCCTCGGGTTGATTTTACTGCCACCTGGCGCTTTGCTGGACCTGGAAGAGAGTGGGGTTAGGGCCAATCATGACTGGCCATTCCACCCCACTCTGTGTCCCATATGTTGCTGCTCAGGGATACCAATAGCTCAGGACCCAAAGACCCCAAGCGGCAATGTTTTCAAGCCTGATCAGATATGCTGGACTACACTGCTGAAGGAAAGTCCCTTTTCTGGGGAGAAGGAAGGAAGGAGACATAGCAGACATTATTCATACTTTAGCCTAGAGACTGGCGTCATGGCTCAGTGAGTTAATCCTCTGCCTGTATGGCTGATGTTCCATATGGCTTCTAGTCCTGGCTCATCCACTTTCCACCTAGCTCCCTGCTTGTGGCCTGGGAAAGCAGCAGAGGATGGCTCACATCCCTGGGCTCCTGCACCCACATGGGAGACCCAGAAGAAGCTCCTGACTTTTGGCTTTGAGGCCATTTGCGGAATGAACGAGCAGATGGAAGACCCCCCTGCCCCTCCTCTCTGTAAATCTGCCTTTGCAACAACCATAAATAAATCTTGAGGAAAGGAAAGTTTAGCCCGGAGTCAGAGAACCTTTCAGAGAACCCTCAACTCTCAGGATTTGAATCTTCCCTCCATTCTTTAGCTTGCTTAAGAAATACTCCATCCCAACTTTCCTGTTGTTGGGTCCTACCACTCCCAAAGTTTTTCAGGCTACCAGATAGGTTCTTTTTGTCCTCAAAGTCATCCCCTTCGGAGCCAGAGGAGATGGTCTGGATGTCATCGCTGTCCACTGCCGTGGCTGCAGTCTGCCCAGCAGTGGGCTTGCGGCTGGTCCCACTTTCCCCCTCACTGTCTGTGCTGCTGGATAGCGTCAGGACGTCCTGGGAGGTAGAAGGTTGACAACAAGGAAGAGTGAGCAGGGAGGTCCTTGCTCTTACCTGTGCTTTGACAGGGGGCTGAGAAGGTGGCAAGAGGTAGATTAGAAAGGAGGAAAATAACGTAAGAGGTGAAGGCTGAAGAAGCAAGAAAAGATCTGACAGTAACCAGTGATGGGTCTGCAGGGAGAATGTTCCACACTCCTGCAGCTGGACAGAGGTTGGGGAAAGAGCCAACCGGCTAAGGTCACTTACATCGGCGCCGGGCTGAGCAGAGGCCGCGAGTCGCCGGCTCTGGTGCAGACTCGTCTTACTTGGTGGGCGGCGAAGGCCTTCTAGTTTCACAGGAGAAGGATTGTAACCATAATTTCGAGAGCTTTCTGTAATTCTGACGTGGAGGTAAGAAATGAGAGAGGAGCAGGTTATTGGCTGTCTCTTCGGTTTCTTTCAAAGACTGGAAAGAGGCTGGAAGAACCGGCGCTTACCCTGGTATCTTGTTTCGGTCATCAGGGTCCTGGAAAATGTAAGTGATAAGTTAATCTCTTTCATTGTCAAAAGTCATAAATGCATGTCTAAACTTTATTTCAGCTGACCTCCAAACAGTATTAACCTGTGATAGCCAGTGAAGAGAGATGGGTCTGGGGAAAACACCCTATAACTTGACAGTGATAATCATATTCTTGTCACCAATATTCATGGCAGGAGTTACTTTAGTCCTTTCCAAAGGTAAGGCATGTCATTCATGGAAAAAACAAAACAAACAGGGTCTAACATGGACCAAAGACATGTAATAAGCTTAAACATCATCAAAGGTGCATTAAAAAGGAAACTGTTTTTATCATTGAGAGGTAGAGCAACAGTGAAAGGGGGTGAGCTAACTCCCCACAGACCCCTGGGAGTAAGGTCAGGATCATGGAACTCCACCCAGGCTCTGGCTTTGGGTGGCAGGGGACCCAGATACTTGGGCCATTATTGACTGCTTTTTCACACACATTAGCAGGAATCCAGCACTAGAACTGGTACTGTGATGTGGGATGCTGGTGCTGTGCACAGTGACTTAAGCTGCCATGCCACAACTCCTGCCCCTAAGATCAGTTTCTGTAGTAGAGGGAAGCAATGACGTACATAACTTGAAATCCATTAAGTTAAAAAAATCATTCATAAACTCTTCATTTTGAAATTGCTAAGATAACTGGCTGAATAAAGAGGGGAACATTTTTTCCCAGAAATACCCACCAGGTAAGTCACTGCTGTTTACCTCTTTCTTTGCTTGCTTGGTGTCTCCCTCATCCTTGACACCAGGTGCTGATGTGGAGGATTTCTCAGCTTCCCCTCGACTGCCCCCGGCACCACCTTCGCCAGTCTTGAAGGAGGAGCGGCTATCAGAGTCAAAGACCCCATCGTTGACACTATTGCAGCTCAGCCAGGAGGCCACCTTATTCTTGGGTGTCTCCTCGGAGGAAGGTGGATTGCAGACACCTGCAGGGACTAAGGGAGGAGGGACAGGGACATGTGGTGGCCCAAGGTCTGGGGGACGGGAGTCCTTGGCAGGCATCTCAGAGAGTCCGTTTTCCTTCTGGCCTCGGGTCTGCCTCCGGGTGGCATAGCTGCGCCACACTGAGCCGGTGCTGAAGTCCTCATCCTTACAGAAGTTATCATCTGAGCTATCGTCATTGGACTCCTCAGGGTCCTCTGTACCGCTGTTGCCATCCTCCTGGTCCTTTAAGTCTACACCACTGCTGTCAGAGGAACAGGGGGCATCACTCTCATAGCCTTCCTTGAAGTTCTCCACGCTCTCGATATGGTCCAGATTGGCAAAATACTCATCACCCATTTCCAGGCCCTCCTTGTCTGCAAAGTCATCAGTCAGGATTTTGCCTGAGGATGAAGACAATTAAAGGCCTTCTAGGGTTATGTGGTCCTTTTGCAAACAGGAAGTAAGGGTCAATCCATCCATACCCAGTCCACCAGCATGGAGATAAAATGCCTACATTAGTCTCCCATTTTTCTTTGGTGATACCTCCTTCCCTGTAGCTTTAACTGCGACTTTTTGTATATTCCCATGTCCTCTTCAACAAGACAGTTCTCACTAAAATAATACTCGAAAATAATCTTTGGGCCGAGTGACATGCAATGATGACACACTGCATGGTCATGTCTCTCCTCTAGGCCATTACCATGTCCAAAGATATTCTTCCTTTTCATCTTTGTCTTTCCAGAGCACTGTGGCTCTCTCTGGTTCACTACGTGGACACACCACTCACCATGTTCTCTAAGAAGCCAGCCCTGGTTCCTCTCTCTCTCAGCTCACATGCCCAGCACTTTTTTTTTTCCTATGTTCAACTTGTCTCTGCTTCATTTCCCCACCATGTCCCAGCTCTAGGAAACAACTTTTATATTCCATCACCAACCTGCATAAATACAGACAAAAGAGCCTTTGGCAATGTCATCCAAGCAGCGAATACCCCAGCCCTTGTTCTGTGTCTTGAACAGCTGCAGGCGAACCTGTAGTCCGTGCTGCACCAACCGATTTGTGCACATGTTTGGGTCACATTTGCAGCGTTTGTTACACTCATACACCCTGGGAGATTAGAATGGAAATCAACCATGACACGAGTACTAGAAACCCACAAAAACAACAGCTACAATTAATAAGTTATCACCACCTACAATGTGTACTGGGAAAAGGTGAAAAATTAGGTAACAAGCTGAGTGGATTTACTGAAGTGCTGGGGTGCGTTCATTCATTTGGGAATATAACTGATGGAGTAATCTGGAAGGGGAGAAAGTGATATATATAGCCATGTCTGAAATACTGAATGCCAAAAGCTCAGTGAGAAACTGGAGAGAAGCTAAGAAAACTATGATGTGATTACATTACAGAGCCATTAAAATAAGTATACAGTGTCTGCAGAAAAAGATGCATTCTATAGAGGTGAGAAAAGCAGAGGCTGATGCACCGAGTGCTGTGAAGAGAAAGTGTAACTGACAAATACAGGGAGCCTTTTCTGTAAAGCTGGTTTTCACCGTATCACTCAGTAAACACTAAATACCAATAGCTGCACTAAACACTGGGAACAATGAAAAAGGTCATAATGTCTACCTTAGGAAGTAATCTTCTATCTAAGAATCTAACAACTTAATTCTTCTGAAAACAAACTATTAAAGCCAATCAGAGGGATCTGGGGAATAAGAACATTAAAGGAAAGAACAGAGTCACACTGATAAGACTGAAATTGTTATGAATATAATGTTTCTGCTCTATTTGCTTTGCTCTCCATTCAGATTTCCCTTCTTATGTTCTTGGGGTAAATTGAAGGGAGACTTTACCTTTGGAAAGATGACAACAAAACTAATGTCATATCTTTTTTGGATAAAGAGGGTTAAGAACAACTCTACTCACTCACTAGCTATCTGTTTTGGGTGCCATGTAAATGCTTCACACACATTTTCTTATTGTATCCTCAAAGCAGTGCTATCATGTCATTTTCTTTTTTTAACTTTTTATAAAGTAAAATATGTGAGAAGAACACACAGAGAAGTCTAGAGTCAATGGACCTGCACAAACTAAACACACTGTGTAATGAGCACCAAAGAAATAGTTGATTAGGTTTCTTAAAACCCTTTGGGGATGGGGATGTGGTGCCAGCATTGTATGTTCTACACCTGATAACAGGATTAGCTCCAAAGTGGAGGAACCAGAACCTGAACTCAGGTCTACTAGCAACAACAATGATATTAAGTGTCATCTGTTTATTTTGTGGGACAGTTATTCCATGCCAGCCACTGAGCAAACCTCCTGGAGTCAGCCAGACAGGCCCCTGCTGTCACGGAGCTTACCCTCTAATGGAAAAGACAGAACCAAACCCAGTCCACACAGCTGTCATACACACTACAGGGAACACCACGGAGCTCTACAAGCAGACGAGGATGTGAGGCTGGGGCTTAGGGTGACAGGGAAGGTTGTTCTGAGCAGGGAGGTTTGAGTGGGAGCTGAAGGTTAAAGGATAGTGACAGGATGCCAAGGACAGGGCGCCCCAGAGGCTGGCTGGTGAACATGGGCTGAACTGCACACAGGAACTGTGAAGAGCATCTGTGTGGCTGGAATCACTCTGGGTTAGGGAGACAGGGAGGTTCCCAACTCGGGATTTTACTCTGATAGAATCAGAGTAAAAATCAGAAGCTATTACAGAGTTTCTGGCAGGAGAGTAACATATTTGTGGCTATTAAAAAGACTAACTGTATGCATTATAAATACACAGAAAATATATAAAAGACACACAATGTAATTACCATTCAGCAGCATTTATAAAATCTAAACTTTGTAAGTTAGAAATTTGCTTATCATTAAAACATAAATGACCCAGTGACCTAACTTCAGTATCTGTCTTTCGCTTGGTTGTCTACTTTCCCCTCTCGGCTCCCCATCAGCCTGTCCCCGCTCTCAGCTCCCCTGGAGTTGCTCCTGCTGCCATCCGTCCCTCCCCAGCACTGGCTATGGCTGTTGGCGGTATGCTCTCCTCCCTTCACTGCCACCTGGGAGATTTCCTTTGCTCCTCTTTTGACTGCTTCTGAACTCTGTACCTCCCTTTTCCTTGTTTTGGTAAATAGTGCCAGTAACTTTTTCCTTTTGTTTCCCCACTAGTACTCTCTGATAAAGGAAATAATGAAGCTCTGAGATACTGCCCATCTAAAACACATCCTCAGCCTATCTTCACAGAGCAGTAAGTTCCCCTTGGAGTCCTGGAAAGGTTAACTGCCCTCTTTCTGTATTATTCTGAAAAGGCTGGAATAACTTTACATCATTAGTTTGCTTTTCTAGAAGCTTATAGGATTTTTTTCTTTATTCTCAATGTTCTCATTTTTGACTGTCTCTTTGTAGGATTTATTTTCACTCATGCTAAGACCTCATTGGCCCTTTGGCATCACAAACTCTTCAATCATGACAATACTTCTGAATTAGATTTATCAGTTCACACATTCATACATATCAGCTCACCATGATCTATCTTACTTCTTCACTGTCTTTTTCCTTTCTCCATTTCTCACGCCGCCTCTACCTCCTTTGCTCAAGCACTCAGTGCCGGCTCGCCTTGGGCTTACTCCCGGTTCCCGCTTCTCCATCATCAACACTTTCTCAGGAAACACGGTCAAGCTGTCAGTATGACTCCTATGCTGACAACCACTAACCCTTTATATCCGGCTCTTATACCTCTCTCTACAAATTCCCCTGCCTCGTCGACATTTCCCCTTGAATTCCCCAGGAAGTACCTAAAATTTAACACGTCCCTAACAAAAACTGAATTTCATTCAAAGCTGTAACCCTTCTGGGTATTCTACTTTAGTAAAAGACACCAACATCCACATAGTTGTTCAATTAAAAAATTCAGAAGCTGTCCTTGATACTGTCCCTTTCCTCTCATTCTCACCCTTTAAGGGACCCTTCTTTCTAGTTTCAGCCCCAGCTACTCAACCACTATTCCCTTGCCTATATTCCTGCAGTTATCTGCTAACTAGTTTCCCAAATCCTGCTTTTGCTGCCCTAAGATCTGTGCTCCACACAGGAGCCAGGGTAATCCTAAAAAGGCGGATCATATCACTTGCTTAAAATCCTTTAAGGCATTTCTTTCTGCACTATGAACCTGATTCTAATATTTCCTTTTTGGCTTACAAAGCCCTATAATCAGGTCTCCACCAATACTTCTCTGAATATATTTCACTTCCTATAGTAAATCGTACTTGGGTGGCACATTCATTTAGCTATAAAGTTGAGATCATTTGCTGCAACAGAAAATTGGCAGATACTAATCATTCCTTCTATGTTGTCATTTCAAGGAAAGCCCAAGAAAGAAACGCATGCCTGCTTCTATGTTCTATTTCTGGTTTCAATTTTTAAATTTTGGATGGTTCTTACAAGCACATGAGGTACCCCAGAATCCCGTGACCACTTACCCTGTGGGCAGACACTCTTCCAGTCTTTTGTACTGGTAGCCAGAGTTAGGGTTGATTTGGCCTCCTGGGGTACAAGCAGTAGCCTGGATAGTTAGCTGATGGCAGACACACTTAGATCTGTATAAGACAGAAGGATACAACAACTGGAGCTGTGAGAAATAATAAAAGGATGGGAATTTCATAGTAAAATTTCCTTTCTCTCAGAGTACTGACAGAACACGAGATAAAGAGACAGAATAAAACAAACTGGTAGAATAAGAGCATGAAAGAGTGGTAGGGTGGGAAACAAAATAGAATGGGGGAAGGATCAGAGCGGTGTTAGAGGAGGCAACAACAGGGGCCGCACTGAGGACAGAGGGCTAAGCCACTACCAGCATCTCACACTGGAGTGCAACTCCAATCTCAGCCGCTCCCTTTCCAGTCCAGCTCCCAGGTAACGTGCCTGGGAAGGCAGCAGAAGATGGTCCAGGTGTCTGGGCCCCTGCCACCCACGTGGGAGAACAAGATGGAGTTCCTGGATTTGGTCTGGTCCTGCCCTGGCTGCTGTGACCACTGCAGAGTGAACCAGTACATCTCTGTTTCTCTGTCACCCTTCCTTTCAAGTAAATAAATCTTAAAAAAAAAAAAATACAGCAAACCTGGGTACCCAGGGTTATTCAGTGGGGCCTATCAAGACGTCAGCCTTCTGGTCTCACAGCTTTCATGGAGGCCATAGGGCCTGAGGTCCTGCCGAGCAAGGGGGTGAAGGAAGGTGGGGAGGAAGCAGTAGAGATAGATGGCAAAAGAAGTGAAAATAAAGACCACCACCAGGAAGCTGGAGTGAAAAGTAGCAGTTCCTCCACAGACTCACTTGTCCCGACACCCATCCTTGCAGTCGCAGCCAACCAGAAATTCAGGGCCTGTGTTAATGAAAACACCCTTGCCCGGGATCCGTTCCTTGCTGTAAGCCACCTGTGGTGGGGGAGTTGTGTCAATTTCATTGACACAGGATAGGGGAACATCCTCCTTTCCATAGGTGATGTCCAAAATATAGTAAAAAGGCTTATAGGGCTGAAACTTGCGGTCCACAAGAACATAGGGATCCAAACAGAACATCTCCAGGAAGAGGAAGTCACAGCCAGTTTCAAACAGGTAGCGTTCAATCTCCTGCATTGTCCGGAGGCAGAGGCCACAGGGGGTCTTATAGATGACATGGAAGCCCATTTTGCGGTTAACCCGGCGCCGGGCTGTCATTCGTCGGAAGTCATATAGCAGCGGGACGAGCAACGGGTTCTTGCCCCGGTACTGCTCATTCCTCATGGGTCTGATCCGAGACAAACACGTATAGCTGCAGACATGAGGTAAGTAGAAAAGTTTCTCCATGGGGGCACGGTAGGAGGGCTCCGCTGGGGCCCGCTCCAGCATGCCATGGAAAGCTGGGGGTGCGGGAGGAGCCGGGGGGACTGGAGGTGCTGGGGCAGAAGTTGTTGAACTTAAAGGTGATCTGCAAACAAGAGGCAAGAGAGGAGGTTAAGAAGGCGTCCAGGCTGCTTGGGTTACATAAATTATCCCTCCAACTAGCTAAGTCTTTTCTTTCCTATTTTAAACAGCGGTGTCTGTAACACTAACGATAATACAAGTCAGACTGTTCCTTGTCATAACAGATCTGAATAATAAAAGCTCTCTGGTTACTCTGCACTGACCGATAACGTCTCTTTTCAATACTAGGCCTTTCCCTTAAGCCTATCAGCCTAAGAATTATGGAAGTGCAGGCCAGTCTTCTACTGAGGCTTTTCTGTCTGCAGTATGTTCTATAATGCCCATAATCACTCCCGGGACTCCAGGAACAAGATTGCAGTGTTTCCTTTATATTACAGCAATGATGGCAAGAAGTTTCACCAAACTGGGGCTGCCTTTGTGATGCTGTGCATGGAGTCATTATCCGACATGGGCACCCCCTCAGGAGTACCAAAGAGTCCCTTCTGCTCTGCTTCTGATCCAGCTTCCTGCGAACGCACCCAGGAAGGTATTGGAAGATGCCCAAAGGGACTTGGGCCCCTGTCACCCAGATGGGACAGTAGATTGGACTTCTTGGTCTCTGACTAGGCCCAGCCCTGGCTACTGAGAAGTAAACCAGCAGATGAAGATCCCACTGTCTATCTTTCAAATAGCTAAGTAAATAGTAGGAAACAAACAAACAAACAAACCCCAAAAGCGTTATTAACAAATGACCTTCTTCATTAATAAATGGCATACTCCCAGGTATTCAGTTCCCAATTCAATTATTCTTACCTCCTGTTTCTAAAAAACTTCTATGGCAAAAGCTTCCCTTTTAAGTCCAATTTTAGTATATGTGCTGCTGAAGCGAGCACTCCCTTTTAAGTCCAAACTTGTCACCACCATTACCTTAACCTAAACCCCTTGGAGTCAAGGAACTTTCTCTCCACAGCGACCACTCAGCCCACACTGCCAACCTGCCCACAGACAGCCCAAAATGTTCTCACCTATATGCCTGGTTCGCTGCAGGCTTCCCACCAGCAGCACTCTCACTGAGTGCAGGGGACGGAGGGGAGGAGTGACCAGAGCCCACAGATCCTGGTCGAAAGGATGTGCTCTTTTTGGCTACCTGCTTCCGTGATTGAGCAAGCTGGCTTTCCATGCTTTTAGGGGATTTGAGAAGAGATCAAATAGTAAGGGATACAGGAAATGGGATATGCAAGAAACTGAAGATCAAGCAAGGAAGAGCACTCACTCAGGGTCACCTATTTGAGGGGACAGAGCTGGAGCAGGTGGAGCTGGAGGAGGCTGCGGGGGCTCCATTGGCTTGAACTGGGTTCCAGTACTGGTCAGATCCTGTGTATACTGGACTACAGGGCCTTTGCTCCTCACAGCACCTATAGGAAAAAGGAAACTGATCACTGAGAAGAGAAAGCCGTGTCACTTGTACTCATTACACACCTGGCCCTCAACTTATATCACACAACAAAGCAGCAATGGAAATGTTTCAAGTGTGTGCTAAGGCTCAGCTCCCACTCTTAATTAACGCTAGTGACTAGAGGTGCTGCATACGCTGTTTTGGTCCTTACGTAATAATTTATCTTCCTGCTTCAGACAATTCACCTCATCAGCTAATTAATTATATATTATTTTAGTGAATATTTAAAAAAAATGCTTTTTTTAGGGCCCGGCGTGGTGGCGCAAGTGGTTAAAGGTCCTCGCCTTGCACGCCCGGGATCCCATATGGGCGCCGGTTCTAATCCCGGCAGCCCCGCTTCCCTTCCAGCTCCCTGCCTGTGGCCTGGGAAAGCAGTCGAGGACGGCCCAAAGCTTTGGGACCCTGCACCCACGTGGGAGACTTGGAAGAGGCTCCTGGCTTTGGATAGGCATAGTATCGGCCCGTTGCGCTTACTTGGGCAGTGAATCATCGGACGGAAGATCTTCCTCTCTGTCTCTCCTCTCTGTATATCCGCCTTTCCAATAAAAAAATAAAAATAAATCTTTGAAAAAAAAAATGCTTTTTTTGGACCAAGCTGCCCTGGGGAAGGAGGAAATCAGCAAGTATTGCAGAAACATGGGGAAACAAAATTCTCACCTAGAGAAGAGAGGTAACTGCTACTATCTGAATCTAAGCAAACTGTTTCAGAGTCTCCTGGGACTGTTGAGGAGGAATCAGAGCCATAGCCTACGGAGGTAGCACCACAAACCCATCACCACGACGGGGAACAAACTGGGGCACACGTCCTGCTCCCTCTGGGTCTGCAATGTTACCCTGGGAGACAAAGGGTAACCACAGTGTCTTGTCCCTTTGCTGTCTGGCTCTGTTTCTTCCCTCCCCTGAAGGACGTACCCATATTTGGACGTGTCCGGAGCTGTCCCCCTTGTTTCTTCTCCAGCGTAGAGGCCGAAGAGGTCTTCATGCTGAACATGGGCTCCAGTCGTGTGGAGCCTCGATAGATCCACTCACATCTTTTGTCATCCTGAGGAAGATGAGAGGAAGAAAGAGTGGGAGAAAGAGATGAGTCTCCTGCCAGCTGTGGAGAACACTCGTGCCACCTCTGGGTAATCTCCCCAGTGAGCCCAGTTCTAATCCCAGCAGCCCTGTTTCCCATCCAGCTGCCTGCTTGTGGCCTGGGAAAGCAGTCGAGGATGGCCCAAAGCCTTGGGACCCTGCACCCGTGTGGGAGACGTGGAGGAAGCTCCTAGCTCCTGATTGGCTCAGCTTTGGCCATTGCTGTTGCTTGGGGAATGTGTCAGCAGACCTAAGATCTTCCTCTCTCTCTCTGCTCCTCTCTGTATATCTGACTTTCCAATAAAAATTTAAAAAATAAATCTTAAAAAAAAAAAAAAAGATTTATTTTGAAAGAGTTAGACACACACACAACCTTTATCTGCCATCCCCTGATGGCTACAATGGCTAGCAATGGGCCAGGCCAAAGCCAGAAGCCAAGAGCTTTATCAGGGTTTGCAACATATGTAGCAGAGGGCCAAACACTTTGGCATCTTCTCTGGAATTTCCCAGGCCACTAGGGGAGGAAGCTCATCTGGAACGTAGTAGCTAGGACATGAATATGGGATGCTGGCATCACAGGTGGTGGCTTTACCCACTATGTCACAATATTGGCCCTAGGAAACTAATTTTCAACCACCACCATATGGTAACAAAATGGCCAACAGGGAGAACAAACAGGAGGATAGAAAGGAAAGCTGCTGAGCCAGCACTGCACTGTCATGGTAGGTTCAGCAACTGCTTATGTTGGAGTCCTGGCTGGAGTCCTATCTGCTCTGCTTCTAATCCATCTCCCTGCTGATGTGCCTGGGAAAGCAGTGGAAGATGGCCCAAGGCTTTGGGACCCTGCCATCCTTGTGTGAAACCAAGATGCAGTTTCTGGCTCCTGGCTTCAGCCTGGCCCAAATCTGGCCACTGTAGCTAACTAGGGAATCAACCAGTAGATGAAGGACTTCTCTGTCACTTTGCCTTTCAAATAAATACATCTTTAAAAAAAAAGAAGAAGAAAGTGATAGACTAACTGTATAATCATCCCATTGTAGCCCTTTTCCAGAATTCCAAGGAAGAACAGTACCAAGAAGAGGATCCTGACGAGGCTCCCATCCACCTCCTCAACACGTGACTTCCACCAGGTGCCCTCCCACTCAGTCTTGATAAGCTGTCCACTCTTGAGCAGCACCATGGGGCGGTTAGGGTAAGCAGTGATATACTCCTCTATGAAGTCTCGGCAGGAGATGTCTTCTATATCTTCCCAAGTCTTTTTCACTGTCCCAAGGAAGAAGCAGAGCTGAGAGAGGGCATGGAGGGCATGTCTTGATAGGAAAAAATGAACAGCAAGGAGACATTTGGTATTTTTCAAGTAGGGGAGGGAAAGCAAAAAAATAAAGAAACCATAATCTCAAAGGAAGCAATACCAAGACCCCCCCATAAGTGCTGGATCTAAGTAAAGGCACTTACAAATCAACCAGCACCTGAACCACCAGGTCAGACACCTGTCCTCTCAGGTTAAGGTACTCTGTTTACCATCATGTTATGTGGAAACACAGCCATGGTAGCTGGTGCTTCTGCAATTAAAAACCCATTGCCATGGCAGGAGTCTGTTCCTAAGCCAGAGTACTGAACACAGGTGATATGCTAAAGCTCCACCAAGCAGTACTTCTATGGAAAGCAACACACAAACCACAGGCTTAGACCAATATCCAGCCTTGGCAATGAACAGGACAACCGTACCCCCCAAAGAATATCAACCAAATGTATGCTCTTTTGAGACTGGAGCACTCAAACCCTGGGATTTTTCTACAGGGAATCTTAAGGGGAAACACACACACACAGAGTAGAGGAGGAAATGACAGAGCTAGGGAGAGGCAGGAGGACACTCACGTGGCCGGCAAATGGGATATAGTTCAGACTGTGTGACGTAAGACGCGTAGCCATCATCAAAGAAAATGAGGAACCTAGGAAAGAGGAAGAGCATTAGAAACTACTCCAGGCACCGCTGTGTCCACTAGGATTCCACGAGCTCCCGGCCTCTGGATCTCACGGGATATGCTTCTTACTCCCGTCACCAAGAGACCCACAATCTTCCTTTAATCTAACCAATGTATCCACACTTTCGCAACATCTATTTATTCTTGTTTCTCTAACATATTCCTATGCTGCTAACCTTTTATTCCCACGTGTTCCTTTTACGTGAATTCCCTATTTTCCTAATAATTCATCAATTTTGATTACTCTCCTAGTTTTCCTCCTTAGGAAGAAAAACCAACCAACCAACCAACCAACCAAAAAACAAAACAAAATAAAAACTATATGACTCCTGTGGCAAAGAATGAGAAAAGGTTTCTGGCTCCTGGGGACTAAAGGAGAGATCTGGACCGTGGCATGAACACAGAAGCTTCAGTGTTCTTGGCCTCTACTCCCTGTAAAGTCCTCTCTGCCCAAGTACCTGAGCTTGTTTTTGACGTTTGGTGTTTCGGCTACAATGCCAGCATAGAGCCAGACCTGGTTCCCATCTTTGTATTTGGCCACCACTCGGCTGCCCACAAACAGCTGCTCAGCAGGAGGGTGGTAGTCATAGGCGATGTGGTTCCCTGACAGTAGACTTTTTCCTTTGTTGTCAAATTTCACCTTGTACTTCTTCCCTGGCCCTGAGTAAAAGGGAAGGATAAATACAATTTAAAGGACTGCAGGTTTTTGTGGAAGCTCTGGCTGCTAGGTAAAATATAAAGGGAGAGGAAGCAAGCGGCAGTGGAGCCCTGTGGGTGTCTCTGCAGCAGTGCTGCCTCTGGTTGAACATACCAACTGTCTGGATGGCAATCAGGGTGCCTTTGTGCCACGTCTTGGTTCTCTTCTTGCCCAGAATCCGCATGCTGACTACCAGGTCACCATCTCTGCTCAGCTCACTCGACATCTGACTCAAGGTTCCTACGGAAGAAAGCAGAGCTGTTTGAACAAGCTCTGCCACTGCAAAGGGAAAGGTAACGAGCACAGCAGTCACTAAGGAAAGTTGGGCAATCTCTGATCCTTAGCCACGCTGGCTGTTCCTCCGGCCAAGGGCAGAAACCCAAGCAGGCAACTGTGCTGACAGGAGAGACCTGAATAACAAGGGAACACAGGTCATTCAGGAACGTCTCACCCCAGTGAAATGTTTCCCACCTCGTAACAGGAACAACACTGAAACTCATCAGACAGTAGGCAGCATTTATAAAGCATTTTTCTGAAGGATATCTATCAATTCTACAAAGTTTCCCTCTCAGAGAGTTTAATTTACTCTTTCCCCATTGACACTGGAAGAGGTGAACAAGAGCGTGGCAGCAGCCTAAAGGAAGGGCGCTAACAAGGTACAAGGAGAAAATCAACACAGACTAGAAAATCAGCAACAGTGTAACTGGGACTTGACAACTACTTAAGGACAGTAAGTCTGGCATTAAATCAATCAGAAGACCAAAAAAGTAGATAACAAGGAACAACAAAATCACACAAAGAATCGTATACTGACCATGGACATACAGCCAGCTTCTATTAACAGAGGTAACAAAGGATTCTGAAACCATAAAGTGAAATCAGCTTTATCTATGAAATCTCTACAGGAAGTCACCTCCCATCTGTACCAGATACTTCCCGACCCCGACCTTTATGCAGATCCTGGGAGCTGCTCTTTTTGTTGACAGCGTCCATGAACTTCTGGACATCCTGAGCTGATTTTCTTAAGGCAGCCATGGCCTCACGGAGCTGTAGGGAAAACGATGAGAGAAACAAAATTTGTAGCATGGGTTAGAAATAACTTGAAGGGAAGAAAAACTGACTTTCAAAAAGCAAACTGCAATGAGTTATGCTTGGAATCTCATGGCTACATTTATCAAACTTTGCTAGACATCAACTTTAGGAGGATTTTGTTCACTAATCTAAACTAGCTGAACATAGCTAAATTCTACTTCCAACAGCACACTGTGTGCATGGCTTCTGGTAACTTCTTTCTTAGAATGTCTGATAGAGAACTACAACCTACAAAGCGGATGATGGTTTGAGTAGCTAATGATTAAAAGTTCTTTCAATACTCCTATTACCTATCACTTCTCTATAACCCACTCCAACTCACCTTCTGATCTTTTGGAGTTCTGCTCCCAGCATCACCTAAAGACAAAAAGAATTCTACTGAGCGTAAAAGACTTAAATGAATTTCCAGGAAACCAATAACTAAGTTATTTACAGCAATATCACGGAAGTATTATCAATACTGAAAACCAAATATACATATATATAAAAGTGTTTAAAAAAACTTGGGCCCAGCATAATGGCTAGATCCTTGCCTTGAAACCACCATGATCCCATGTGGGCGCCAGCTTGTGTCCTGGCTGCTCCACTTCCTGTCCAGGTCCCTGTTTGTGGCTTGAGAAAGCAGTAGAGTATGGTTCCCTGCACCTGCACGGGAGACGCAGAAGCTCCTGGCTGCTGGCTTCAAATCTGCTCAGCTCCAGCTGTTGCAGTTGTTTGGGGAGTGGGCCAATGGACACAGGAAATTTCTCACTGTTTCTACTTCTCTCTGTGGATATGACTTTCCAACAGAAATAAAATCAATGTTTTAAAAAGTCTGGAAATGACAGGGTTTATTTCTGAGTAAGATATTTGGACAGGTGGGCTTGCATTTTTCATCATTTATTTGAATTTTTAAAAATATTTATTTATTTTTATTGGAAAGGCAGGTTTCCATAGAGAAGGAAAGATAGAAAGATCTTCTATTCACTGATTCTCACCCCACGTGGCCAAAATGGCCAGAATTGAGCTGATCTGAAGCTAGGAGCTAGGAACCAGAAGCCAGGAGCTTCTTCCCAAGGCTTTGGGCTGTCCTCGATTGCTTTCCAGGATCACAAGCAGGGAGCTGGATGGGAAGTGGGGCTGCCGGGATTAGAACCTATGCCCATATGGGATCCCACATGTACAAGGTGAGGATTTTAAACACTACGTTATCATGCCGGGCCCGAAATCCTTGCTTTGCATGCGCTGAGATCTCATATGGGTGCTGGTTTGTGTTCTGGTTGCTTCGACTTCCCTTCCAGCTCCCTGCTTGGGGCCTGGGAAGGTGGTGGAGGACAGCCCAGAGCCTTGGGACCCTGCACCTGCATAGGAGACCTGGAGGAGGTTCCTGGCTTTGGATTGGCTGAAATCCGGCTGATGCAGCCACTTGGGGAGTGAACTGGCAGATGGAGGATCTTTCTTTCTCTCCTTCTCTCTGTAAATCTGACCTTCCAATCAAAATAAACAAATCTTTAATTTAAAAAAAAAATCTAGAACCAGTTAAGCTACCATCTGCAATGCTAGCATACGCTATGGGCACTTGGTGAGTCCTGGCTACTCCATTTCTGATCTAGCTCCTTGCTGAGGTACCTGGGAAAAGCAGCAGAGCATGGCTTAATATACCAGGGTGCCTGAATCCACGTGGCCAGATGTACAGTTCCAGGATCCTGGCTTTGGTTAGCCCAGCCTCAATGGTAGTGGACATGTGGGGAGTGAACCAAGACAATCACAAGCAATTTGAAAGTAGATTTATAACAATTATGCTTGCAGATACTGGTCAGTGGTCATGTGACTAAGCCAAGCTCTGGGAAGCAGAACAGGGCACAAGAGACGAGATGAAACGTTTAAGGTAATCAAGGTAACAACCCGTGTCAAAGGTCTGGATTACATATCAAGCCCTGCAGTCCTTGCTGTGGTATCACGGTTAAGACACTGCTTGGAAAAAAAAAGGATATTGTTTGAGACACTGGCATTCACATTAGTGTGTCTGGTTTGAGTTTTGGCTAGTCTGTTTACAATTAAGCTGCTTGCTAAGGAGCTGGGAAGGGGGTCAGCATGCTGAATCGATGTTTCTAGAAGTGCTGGCATTCTGACTTTACTGTAGCCCTTTGGGGGAGTGAAGCAACCGATGGTCCCAAGGCTTTGGGCCATCCTTGACCGCTTTCCCATGCCAGAAGCAGGGAGCTAGATGGGAAGTGGAGCCGCCAGGATCAGAACCAGCACCCACATGGGATCCTGGCCCTTTTGAGGTGAGCACTTTAGCCACTAGGTCACCGTGCCAGGCCCAATAATTATTTAAAAAAAAAAAAAGTCAGCCAAGCCTGGTAGCCTAGTGGCTGAAGTCCTTGCCTTGCACATCCTGGGATCCCGTATGGGTGCCGGTTCTAATCCCGGCAGCCCAGCTTCCCATCCAGCTCCCTGCCTGTGGCCTGGGAAAGCAGTCGAGGACGGCCCAAAGCTTTGGGACCCTGCACCCATGTGGGAGACCCAGAAGAAGTTCCTGGCTCCTTGATTGCATCAGTTCCTGCTTGTTGTGGCTACTTGGGGAGTGTGTCAGTGTATATATGACTTTCCAATAAAAATGTCAAAATAACTCTTTACAATAATGGCTCAAGTCGTTGGCTCTCTGCTATCCATGTGAAGATCTGGATCGGGTTGGTGGCTCCTCTAGATGGTCCAGCTCCAGCACTTGCTGAGAACTGGGAGAACGAATCAATGCATGTGAGGTCATATGTTTCTGTGCTTCTCAAATATAAATAAAATATAAATAAATAAAAATGAAAATAAGTAAATAAGTTATAGAGACCAGAAGGAACCAGAATAGAATATCTGAAATTCTGAAAGCAAACACAGTGGGTAAAGCTACCACCTACAGTGCTGGTATCCCACATGGGTGCCCAGTTTCAATCTCAGATGCTCCATTTCTGATCCAGCTCCTTTACAACACACTGAGGAAAGCAGTGGAGGATGGCCCAAGTGCTTGGGCTCCTGCATCCATGTGGGAGACCCAGATGAAGCTTCTGGCTCCTGAGACCAGCCTAACCTGGCCTGGCATGGTCACTGTAATCATTTGGGGAAGCAAAGAAGCAGATGAAACACCTCTCTGTATGTTTCTTTCTCCATTTCTGTAACTCTCTCTTTCAAATAAATTAAATAAATCTTAAAAAAGAAAAAGAAAGAAAACTGTCAACCAAGCATTTTGCATCCCAGACTAACAATGACTGAGAAAACCCATTGTTACTTGAGTCATACCAAAAGACCTATCAAAGGAAATCCTTCAAACCACTAGATGGAAAAACAAACCAATAAAAGAAAACATGAGATGGTTAACTCAGTCCCGCAGGAAGGAATGAAGGGCAACAGAAACAGTAAACATGTGGTAAGTACATGCAGTTTTATTTTCTTTTTGGCCTTACACTAAACTTCTGGCTTTGAACGTAAGTAGATGTAATACATTGGAGAACAGCACTAGATAGGAAGAAAGTAAAGTGGAGATACACTGGTGCAAAGCTATATATATTAAGATTTATTTATTTTAGCTGAAAGAGTTTTCAAAGAGAGGGGAAAGAGATGGTGAGAGAAAGAGAAATCTTCCATTCGCTGGTTCACTCCTCAAATCGCTGCAGTGACCTGAGCTCAATGTCCAAAGCTGGGAGCCAGAGTGTCTTCTGGATCTCCCTCTTGGGTGCAGGGGCCCAACGCCCTGGGCCGTCTTCTACTGCCTTCCCAGGTCACATACAGACCTGGATCAGAAGTGTAGCAGCTGGGACTTGAACTGGCATCATGTGGGATGCCAGCATCACAGGCAGAGGATCAGCTTTCTATGCCACTGCACTCCTTTCCACCTCCCTACCAAAGCTGCTTTAATTTACAAGTATTATTTTTGCATGAACTTGTAATAGGTAATGATTAGGTAAGGATGGAATTACTGTTTAAAAAAGTAAAAGCCAAGAACAGAGGAATGAAAATAGTTTAGTAAAATAATGTCTAAAATAAAAATGGAACAGGTGCCTGTAGGGACACATTGTGATACTGGAAAGATACAGCAAAAGGGAAAAATATAAATCTATTCATATAGATTAACATTGTGAATGGACTCAATTTTCTGAAATGCAGAGAACAAATATAGTCTTTTTTTTTTTTATTTTTTTTAAAGATTTATTTTTATTATTTTTTATTGGAAAGGCGGATATACAGAGAGGAGATACAGAGAGGAAGATCTTCCATCCGATGATTCACTCCCCAAGTGAGCCGCAACGGGTCGATACTATGCCGATCCGAAGCCAGGAGCCTCTTCCGGGTCTCTCACGCGGGTGCAGGGTCCCAAAGCTTTGGGCCGTCCTCGACTGCTTTCCCAGGCCACAGGCAGGGAGCTGGAAGGGAAGCGGGGCTGCCGGGATTAGAACCGGCACCCATATGGGATCCCGGGCGTGCAAGGCGAGGACTTAACCACTTGCGCCACTGCGCCGGGCCCGAGAACAAATATAGTCTTAACAAAGATAAGAAACAGGGCCTGGTGCAGTGCTTCATTTGGTCAGCCTTCAAGTGCCGAGATTCCATACGACCACTGGTTCGTGTCCTGGCTGCTCTACTTCCCATCCAGCTCCCTGCTTGTGGCCTGGGAAAGCAGTAAAGCATGGCCCGAAGCCTTGAGCCCTGCACCTGCATAGAAAACCTGGAAGAGGCTCCTTGCTCATGGCTTTGGTTCAGCTCAGCTCCAGTCATTGCAGCTACCTGCAATTTACCTGCAGAGTAAATCAGTGGACTGAAGATATGTCTTGGGCCTGGCGTGATAGCGTAGCAGGTAAAGTCCTTGCCTTGAACGCACGGGGATCCCATATGGGCATTGGTTCTAGTCCTGCCAGCCCCACTTCTCATCCAGCTCCCTGCTTGTGGCCTAGGAAAGCAGTCAGGGATGGCCAAAAGCCTTGGGACCCTGCACCTGTGTGGGAGACCCAGAAGAGGCTCTGGGATCCTGGTGTCAGATTGGTTCAGCTCAAGCTGTTGCAGCCGCTTGGGAAGTGAATCATTGGATGGAAGACTTTCCTTTCTGTCTCTCCTCTCTGTATATCTTACTTGCCAATAAAAATAAAATGAAAAAAAAAAAAAAATCTGGGCCCGGCACAGTGGCCTAGTAGCTAAAGTCCTTGCCTTGAACGCACCAGGATCCCATATGGTTGCAGGTTCTAATCCCGGCAGCTCCACTTCCCATCCAGCTCCCTGCTTGTGGCCTGAGAAGGCAGTCAAGGATGGCCCAAAGCCTTGGGACGCTGCACCTGCATGAGAGACCCTGAAGAGCTCCTGGCTCCTGGCTTTGGATCGGCGCAGCACCAGTTGTTGCGCTCACTTGGGGAGTGAATCATTGGACGGAAGATCTTCCTGTCTGTCTCTCCTTCTCTCTGTATATCTGACTTTGCAATAAAAAACAAAACAAAACAAAACAAAACAAACCTGTCTTTCCCCTTTGCAAATTGTCCTTCCCAGTAAAAATAAATAAATCTTGGGTCCGGCACGGTGGCGCAAGTGGTTAAGGTCCTCGCCTTGCACGCCCGGGATCCCATACGGGTGCCGGTTCTATCCCGGCAGCCCCGCTTCCCTTCCAGCTCCCTGCCTGTGGCCCGGGAAAGCAGTCGAGGACGGCCCAAGGCTTTGGGACCCTGCACCCACGTGGGAGACCCGGAAGAGGCTCCTGGCTTGGGATCGGTATAGTATCGGCTGTTGCGCTCACTTGGGGAGTGAATCATCGGACAGAAGATCTTCCTCTCTGTCTCTCCTCTCTGTATATCTGCCTTTCCAATAAAAAAAATAACAAAAATAAATCTTTAAAAAAATAAAAAAATCTTAAAAAGAAATGATACAAGCTATATTTTATCTACAGGAGATACACTAAATTCAAAAGAGAAAAACAGAAAGTAAAAGACCACCACACAAAGAGCTGAAACAGAAATGGGAGGGCTCGGGATGGCTGGGGTGGTTCTTGGCATGTCCGCATCCCTTACAGAGAGCCTGGGTTTGTGTTTACCTCCGCTTCCAATGCAGTTCCCTGCCAATGTGTCCCCTCGGAAGCAGATCATGGCACGAATACTTGTGTCCCTGACACCAAAGTGGGTGACCCGAGTGTTGTTCCTGGCTCTTGGTTTTAGCTTGGCCCAGCCCCAGCTGTTGTGCTGTGGGCATAGTGAGTGAATCAGCAGATGGGAGCTTTCTCTTTCTCTGTCACTCTGCTTTTCAACTAAAAACAAGACATAACTAAATGTGGCAATATACCATCTTTATGGGTATATCTCAATACTGTTAAAAAGGCAAAATTCCCTCAGCTGACTTCTAGAATCAATGCAATCTTATTAAAAATACTAGTAGGTTTTGTGTGTGTATGGAGAGGTGTTTAGTACCTGATAGGCTGACCCTAAACTTTATATTGATATGCATGAAATACCAAATAAATTTGTAGGACTTAACATTTATTGATTTCAATACTTACCATTAAAATGATAGTCATTAAAACCTTGTTAAGCTGGTACAGGCATTTAGGTCGCTGTGACAGGACACAATTCAGAAACAGTCCATATAGCGATTAATCAGATGAATTTATCTTATCCTAACATTTATTTGTTTATTTATTTTTAAAGATTTATTTTCATCAGAAAGGCAGATATACAGGGAGGAGAGACAGAGAGGAAGATCTTTCGTCCGATGATTCACTCCCCAAGTGAGCGCAACGGCCGATGCTATGCCTATCCGAAGCCAGGAGCCTCTTTCGGGTCTCCCACGTGGGTGCAGGGTCCCAAAGCCTTGGGCCGTCCTCGACTGCCCTCCCAGGCCATAGGCAAGGAGCTGGATGGGAAGCAGGGCTGCCGGGATTTAGAACTGGCACCCGTACGGGATCCCGGGCGTGCAAGGCAAGGACCTTAAGCACTGCGCCACCGCGCAGTGTGAAAGGCAGACTTACATAGGTATGGGAGAGAAGAGAGAGAGATCTTCCATCTCCCATTTACTCCCCAGATGGCAGAATATATAAATATTTAGTTATTTGAATTTTTATATTTTACAGGGTGCATTTAAGCTGCAGCTTTGAACACCTCCATCCTTATCAGAGTGCCTGGGTCTGAATTTTGGCTGTTCTCTCTTTCAGCTTCCTGCTAAGTACATCCTGGGACACAGCCCGTGACAGCTCAAGTAGCTGGGTTTCTATTACCATATGGCAGATTTGGGTTTAATTCTCACTCTTGGCTTCAGCCTGGGCCAGGAAACATAGAGGAACTAAACCAGAGGTGAGACTTCTTTACTCCTTATTAAATAAATAAAAGGATGAAAAAATTTAAAAAGGGTACAGGTTGGTGCAATGGCTCACTGGCTAATCTTCTGCCTCCAAGTGCGAGGATCCCATATGGGCACTGTGTCCCAGCTGTTCCACTTCACATTCAGTTCCCTGCTTATGATCTGGGAAAGCAGTAGAGGATGGCTCAAATTATTGGAACCTTAAACACGTGTGATAGACCCAGAAGAAGCTCCTGGCTTTGGGTCAGCTCACCTCTAGCCATTGTGGCCATCTGGAGAGTGAACTAGAGGATGGAAGATCTTTCTCTTTCTGTAAACCAACCTTTCTTTCCATTAAAAATAAATAAATCTTTAAAAAAAAAAGAAATAAATTTTTAAAAAGAGAAAAGATTTGAGTAGGTAATTATTTTTAAAGCAAAAACATATAAGTACCAAAAAATCCTAAACAAAAACATTCAACATTAGCTATTAGAAAAATACAAACTAGAATGACAACATGATACCAACAGACATCCTTGCTTTCTCTCTCTCTGCAACTCTGCCTTTCAGTTAAAAAGGTTATAACCAAGAGAAAGTACTGTGACACAGCACGTTACGCAGCTGCCCGGGACAAGCACACCCTGTATTTGCAGTGTGTTTGAGTTCTGGTTCCTCTGCCTGCAACCCAGCCTCCTAATGCATCCTGAGCAGGCGATGCTTCAGGTGCTTGGCCCCTGCCTCCTGCACAGGAAACCAGATGCAGCCTCAGGTTCCTTATCTTGGCCTAGCCTAACCCGAGCTGGTGTGGGCACTGGAGGAACGAACCAGCAGATAACGATACCTGCCCCTGTCTTTCTCTGTTATGCTGCCTTCCAGATAGGTGGAAAAAAGACAAAAACAAATAACTGCTGTGCTGTTTTCTTTGCTTAAGGCGTGGGCGGGGGACAAAAGTTAAAAACTAACAAACTGAGTCAGTGCTGAGGCACAGCTGGTACGGCATCCCAATTGGGTGCTGGTTAGAGTCCCGGCCCCTCCATTTCTGACCTAGTTCCCTGCATTTCCTGTGTCTGGGAAAGCAGTGGAGAATGCCAGGAGCTTGGGCCCCTTTCACCTACGTGAAAGATTCGAAAGAGGCTCCTTGTTTCAGAGTGATCCAGTTCTGGCCACTGTAGCTGTGTGTGGAATGAACCAGACATTGAACTCTGCCTTTCAAATAAATAAATCATTTTAAAAGAAAAAGAAAACCCTAACAATACTGAGTATCGGCAAAGATGTAGAGACCTGAAATTCTCATAATTTCCTAGTGTGCAATCCTTTTGGCAACATTCAAGTTTCTTTAAATCAGGCCTATTTGTAATCAAATGACCTACCAACTGTACCCATTGGCAGAGTCTCTCCCCCTGAAATGAAATACAATGCTCACATAACATATAGCAATATTATTCAGAGTAACTCAAACTGAAAATAACCCAAATGTTTATCAACTGAAGAGTGGACAAAAATACCTTATATATTCACATAACAGATACTATTCCCCTCAAAAAGACTAATCTACTGATCCATGACACACAGAAGAATTTCAAAGACAGTAATACATCGTGAATCCAAATGAGTAGATATTATATAATTGTACTTACACGAAATTTGTAGAAAAGGCAAAACTACAGAAAAAGGAAACATCTGCTAGGGGGAAACAAGGAATACTGACAGCAAACTGGCAAATGGAAGTTACTGAGACTATGCAAATGTTCTGCAATTACATTACTGCATAAATGTACTACAACTCAAATCATATCATCAAAACAGATTCATTTAGTGATATATAAATACCTCTATAAAACCATCAATAATAGAAAAAAAAAGTCCCAATCCATTGTTTTGGGATACATAGACGTCAACGCCACCAATAAAGGAAGCAAGGGACTTCAGAATAGAGTTCACACACAGAACAGGGGAAAGAAGACACAGCACACATGGACGATCACAGTAATAATGTTGCAATTTTTTTCTGTACTAGATGAATTTAGCTTGGAATATCATGTAGGTAACTGGTTTCTCATCTCTTTTATTATCATGTAACTGTCCATACTTTAGCTGAGTCCTACAACCTTCCTATCTGAAGCCCCAGCCCTTACCTGAATCGATGCTGAGGACTTCATCATCTTCATCAGGAATCTCAATTATTTCTGTAGGCCCAGAAGCCTCATCTTCAGAGCTACTCTCTCGGTACTGCAGGCCCAGCTTGGAGTAGAAGTCCTTCACCAAAGACTCACAATTAGTCACTGCCCTAGTATCGGAACACATACAGGGAAGGTCAATGCCAGCACAGGGGGCCCAGCTGCAGGACCCATTAGAATTCAGACACATAACGAAGCAGACGGTCCTCAGCTTAAAGACACCCCATCGCAAAGTGGCCCTGCTTAGAATTCAGAATTTCTTTTTACTCACAGAAAAAAATGTCTGAAATAGTTTTGTTTTCAGACTAGTTTCTCAGGAATTCAAAGCACAGCCACCTTATCTCTTAGCATTCACAGCGCACTGGTTCCAGAATTCCTCCTTAGATATTCAACTCTCTCATATAAGATGGCATAATATTTGCATATAACCTGAGTATGCTTTCTTTCATACCTTAAATCACCTCTAAATTGTTAATAATACTGAATAAATGTAATTATCATAAGTAGTTATTATATTTATTTTGTTAGTTTGTGTTATATGTTTATATATGTTATAAAGTTGCATTGCTAAGGGAATAATAATAACAAGGAAAAAAGTCCATACATGCTCACTAAAGATGTAATTATTTTTTCAGATTATTTTCCATGCACAGTTGTATCCATGGTTACCTAGGGTCAACTTTCCTTTCAAACCTACTTTGACATTTACCTTGCTCTGAAAATACCTTGTAAGTAGGGTACCAGAAACCAAATATGGGGCATGGGGGCAGTGTAGAAACTTACTGAGGTTCCACAGTTAAATCAATACCATAACAGTTTACAATCTTCATCCTCCAAATGTACTTACTAGGGAGACAAAACAATTATTTTAAAGTGGAAGGGGGTGGGCAGTGTAGTGCAGTGAGCTAAGCCACCTTTTGGGATACTGTATCAGCACCTGAGATTGACTTTCATCTCTGCTCCCCATTTAGCTTCCTGTTAATGTGCCTAGGAAGCAGTAGTTGATGCTTCAAGTCCCTGCCACCCACAGGGAGACCAGAGGCAGTTCTTGGGCCTGGCTTCAGTCTGCCACAGCCTGGGTTGTTGCAGGCATTTGGGGGATGAACTAGATGGAAGAGCTATCTTTTCTTTCTCTGTTGTTCTTTCAAATAAATAAAAAACAAATAAGCATTTGCATTAAAAAAAGAGTGGGACTGAAGACTTGCACTCATCTATTTTTAAGGATATATTTGCCTTGAGAAATGAAAAATCTCTATGTAGGTAAACCTTCCGTCAGATTTTGGACCACTGTGACAAAACGCCAAATTCTAGACATCCGTACTTTGTAATGCATGAAGTACTTAGGTTCAGCAGCATGAACCACTATACCCACACAGAAACGCCCTTCTTCTCTCAGGCGGCGCTCACCTGGAGGCGTCATCAAAGAGCTGGTCGACTAGAGCCACCTCGCTCTCTTTCTGTAACACCCACGTCTCCAGCTCGGCTAGCTGCTTCTTGCGCTGCTGCACGCAGTCCATCTTCTCCAGCTCCTCATCGATGAACTGCCGCAGCTCCTCCATGGAGATGCCCAGCTCCTCCACCACCGCCTGCTGCAGCTCGGCGATCTCCTCAGACTCCACGGCAGCCGCGGCGGCACCCAAACCCACACAGCCAGGGAGGGACGACATGCTTCGGCCCTCTGCATGGAACAGAAAACTAAAGAGACATGGCACTCACCATGCAGAATCGCAGCCCTCTCGGCTACCTGTTACTCCAACAGCCTGCACTCCCCTCTCCATCTAAGTGACACCAACACCAAACAGCTTAAGACCTGAAAGTCTGAGAGAAGTCCCCAAGCACAACGACGCATCAGGGAGCTACTTGCAGATGTTTGCAGAAACTGAAGAGAACTGCATTTCTGGGATCGGATGCGTTCCCTTCACGGGTGAGAGAAATCAGTGCGAACTCCGCCTCTCCAGTGGGGAGGGAGTGGATTCCAACTCCTTCGGCATTTTCTCTATTGTTATTAGTTTCCCATACATTACGACGCTTCTATTTTAGATACTTCTGCCTTATACTCGAAACTATTTATGCATACGAAAAAGCTTGCAACGAAAAGGCTTCCCCGAACGGAAACAACCTCCACCCGGCGGTGTTAACTTTTTTCCTTTCTGATACCACAATGCTAGCCGTCCGACCCTAACGCCGGTTCCCGGCCGCGCCTCCATTTTTGCTCTGACGACACGCGGGACCTCGGCCCGAGTTGGGGGCGTATCCCACCCATCTGCAAGAACAGCTCCGTCCCATGCCGGCTAGCCTCTCAGACTTTCTCCTCACGCTGGCCCGACCTCCTCCCACCACATCCCAGAGAAGCCTTGGGTCTCCAAATACCTCAATGACCGGTATCTCCCACACCTCCCAGCCGGTCCAGCTGCAGGCGCTCTCGGGTATCGACCCCAGACTCGCGAGGCCGGAGTCCTCCTGGATCCCAAACAAGAGACTCCGAAGGGAACGGGAGCAGGGGGAGGGGAGGGAAAGCGTGAAGGAGGGACGGAGAAGCCAATGAGACGGCCGGAAGTCAGCCTCTAGCGCCGTTCCGGTTGCCGCGACGGTAGCCTGCCGGAGTCAAACGCAGCACACGATAAGGCGCCCCTAGGAGGATGCAAGCAGCGAAAGCGACTGCGCATGCGCCAGGCAGGGCCTTCCAGGGCTCAAGGCAGGAGCAGCAGGCCGAGCAAAGTGGGCGTGGCCAGGAGGGCAGCACGAAGCCACGCCCCCTTGAAGCCACGCCCACCGGCGGCATTGGCACGCTGCGTCTATCGCTTAAAAGCACAATCGATACTATTTTTCCCCTCAATTTCACTGGAGTTTCTGAAAATTACATAACTTGTAGAAATTGTATAGGGTATCTAATGGAAAGATGTTAAGTTATAACAACAAACGCAAGGTCTGGGTGCGACAGCCTAGTCCTCGCCTTGCGCACCAGAATCTCACAGAGGCGTCAGTTCACCTCCCAGCTAGTCCACTGCCCATCTAGCTCCCTGCTTGTGGCATGGGAAAGCAGTCCAGGACGGCCCAAAACCTTCGGACCCAGCACCCGCGTTACAGAGAGGAGAGACAGAAAGATCTTCCATTTGCTGGTTCAATTCCCAGGTAGCTGCAAGGACCAGAGCTGATCTGATCCGAAACCAGGAGCCTGGAGCTTCTTGTGGGTCTCCCACACGGGTGCAGGGTCCCAAGGCTTTGGGCTGTTCTCAACTGCTTTCCCAGGCCACAAACAGGGAGCGAGATGGGAAGCTGGGCTGCTGGGATTAGAGCCAGCGCCATATGGGAACTTGGCACATCCAAGGCAAAGACTTTAGCCTCTACGCTGCTACACTGAGCCCCAGAATAAATACATCTTAAAAAAATAATAACAAACACAAGACTAACTTTTTGTTCTTCTATCATTCTTTCGCTCTTTTAGGTTAAGATTAGTTTTCTAGTCCATAATATTTGCTTTTTGTTTTGTTTTCAATTAACGTATATGTTTTTTTTTAACGTGTACATTTGAAACTAGAAGAAAAAAATGTCTTTTTGATAGCTACATAATATTTCATAGCATGGTTTAAACATATCTAGAAATTTAGGTGATTTTCACTTTTTAGTCAAATATTTCAAATAATACAATATATTTCAAATAACACATAATGAAAGTTGACATTCTCGGGCAGGTTCTGATTAAGAAACCCATGTCCTGACCTGCCCAAGCAACTGTAACTGCTGGAGTCCAGCTCCAGCTGAGTTCGGAACTCGAGAAGGGTGCGTGGATGAGGCGCAAAGAGAGAGAGACAGACAGACCACTAGGATTTCATGATCATTGTGGACAATGCGAGAAAGCTGTCTGCTTTCTTTATACAAAATCAGTCTAAACTCTGGGTCAGACTCTACGTCATGGTCAAGTGGGTGTTTCTAAAGATAACTCTGCCATTTGTTTCACCTTAAGCCAGGATGTTATCCATCCTGGCACCGTGTTTGGGAAAAAGTTCTCAATAGATGGCGCATATCAATCAGTAACACATTTCTACCACAATCCTCATTCTTGATTCCTTCTGTGAAAGCGGGACCTAAAGATCAAAGAAAGAGGGAAGGAATAGATTCCCACTTACACCTGGGGACAGAACACCCTTGATTAGCATATGGTCAATGAGGGGGGGAAAACCCTAAGCATAAGTTCCCACTATGCCTGGGGACAGCAAGAATAAAAGGCCCTTTGGCTAAAACGGTATCAGCAACATCAACTTCCAAGCTCATATTGGTAGTAAACATTAACTCCACAGAGGCAGACGATGCCTAAATAGATTACAGAAATCTCAGTGGGGTTGTCTGGTGTCCATGCAAAGGGAGGCGGAGCTGCATTCAGGTGGTCGTAGAGACATCCCCGGGCCCTGCCAAACAGCAGGAAGTTCCTTGCGGCCCTGCCTGCAATGGAACAATCCTCTTCACACCTTCCTGTCTTCCACACCCATCACACGGACCCCAGCATGTAACTATCAGTGTGCATATAGACTGATGCGGGTGGCTGATGGACTGAACCCTGTACTGGCTGACACATGCCAGAGTCAAGTCTGGGGTCACCCCAGACAAGGTTTCTTGAAGGATTCGTTACTGGACCTCTGGACTCATAACTGCTTCCACAGGGAACAAAATAGGATTTGTGCTCCAGCCTTGGAATGCATGTGGGGGAACTGGGCCTCCTCAATTGCTGACGTCTATACATTTGTGGGGAGCAGCCTGCTCATCTCCAGAAAGCTGACAATGATCATGATAGCAACCTGTGGATCCACACTGATGAATAATCGTGCCAGAGGGAGAGAATGCCATGGGGGCTTACATTCACAAAATGACACAAGATATTTCACTTGCCTCTTCCTAGCCTGAATGAATCAGACAGCCCTACCAACCACAGGAATGGTCAGGAAGTGTTTCCGATGAACCAGCCCTATTGACTGAGATTTCACAGGTGCTCATATTGCAGCATTTGTTCAGCTGTCTTTATACTAAGGGTGCTAGCTCCTGACTCGAAGCATCTTGCTTTACATTATAAGTATAAATCCAAACTGCATACGAAAGGCTAGAAACATGGCCCAGGGTTCAACCCCTACAATCCTCTCTTCTTGATCATGTGTTCTTTGGCCTGTCCACCAGTTTCATGGGACTATCCTAAGAGGAACCAAAGTGCCAAGAAATGTAGGGCACCTCCAAATATTTAAAGATCTCGTTCACTGGTTCACCCCCCAAATGGCCTCAACGGCCAAAGATGAGCCAATCTGAAGCCAGGAACCAGGAGCCTCTACAGGGTCTCCTACGCAAGTGAAGGGTCCTAAAGGTTCGCGACATCCTTGACTGCTTTCCCAGGCCTCAAGCAGGGAGTTGGATAGGAATTGGGGCCGCTGGGATTAGAACTGGTGCCCATATGGGATCCCGGCGAGTGCAAGGAAAGGACTTTAACTGCTAGGCCACCGCACTGGGCCCCTAGCCATGCTAATCTAGGGATTTTTTTGTTTGTTTGAAGCTTTCCATTATGGTGATGTGGGACAGAATGTTACTTTGTAGTATCCGATTCTGGCATGAATTATTCATTGTTCTAAGAAGACTAAAGTAGATATCAGCTAAGCAACTTAGTATCTTCTGAGTTCTTGCTACTCAGTTAAATCTCTGGTCTCATTCAAATTTCTGAGTCAGACTCTGTGTTGTGGGGTGGGAGTTGTGGCACAGCCATTAAGCTGATGTTTGAGAGATCCACATCCCAAAAGCAGTAGCTAGTTTGTGTCCAGGCTATGTTGTACTTCTGCTCCAGCTGCCTGCTAAGGTGACTAGGAGGCAGCTGCTTGGGCTCCTGCCACCCATGTAAGAGAAACCTAGCTCCTACTTCAGCTTGACTAGCTCCTACTTCAGTAGACAACACTCAGGAAGTGAACCCGATGGAAGATCTTTTTCTGTTTTCTATCTTTCCTCCTTCTCTTTATTTCTTTTCCTTTACTTTTTTTTTTTTAAGATTTGTTTTTTAATTTGAAAGGTACAGTTAAAAAGAGATTTTCCAGATACTGGTTCATTCCCCAAATGGCCACAAGAGCTGGAGTTAGGCCAAGGTCAGAAGCCAGGAGCTTCTTCTAGGTCTTCCATATGCGTACCTGGTTCCAAGCCCTGGGCCATCTGTTTTCCCATGCATTCAGAGGGAGTTGGATTGAAAGTGGAGCAGCTGGAACTCAAATCAGCTTTGTTTTTTGTGTGACAGTTCTGACCACTACCTTTCAAATAAATAGGTCTTTAGGGAAAAAAGAATCTGAATTTTATTAAGACCTCTAGATAATTTATTTTAAAAAAAGATTTATTTTTATTTGAAAGGCAGAATTACACATGCACACACATAGAGAGATCTTTTTTTAAAAAAAAGATTTTTTTTTTTTTAATTGGAAAGTCAGATTTACAGAGAGAAGGAGAGACAGAGAGGAAGATCTTCCATCCACTGGTTCACTCTTCAAGTGACTGCAATGGCTAAAACTAAGCTGATCCAAAGCCAGGAGCGGGAGCTTCTTCCAGATCGCAACATTGGGTACACTAGGCTATCGCACCAGGCTTAAGGGAGATCTTCTGTTCATAACTTCACTCTCTAAATGGCTGCAATGGCTGGACCTGGGATGGTCCAAAGCCAGGAGTCTAGAGTCTCCTCTGAATCTCCCATGTCAGTGCAGTGGTTTGAGGACTTTGTTTTTTCCCAGGCACATTAACAAGTAACTGGTAAATGGAGCACCTGGGACTTGAATTGGTACCCATATGGGATGCTGGTACCACAAATGGAAGCTTAAGCTATATGACCGCTATTCAGTAAAATTTGAAAGGAATTGTAGGAAAGACACGTTTGAACTTTGTAACACTATATAGGACAAAGCCTCCCGATTAGGAAACCAAGCTCTGTTTTTCCTGCCTTAAGGCCCGAAGACCACCTCTTAATCAGGCCTTAACATAAATGACTCACATTATTCAGGTTTGCAAATCATTGTAGTAGAAAGCTGTTTGTTATTATTAATACAATGTAATAAATAACTGGTTACACCCACTGGGACACTCATGTGGCATGCTCAGCACTTTGAGTCTTGTAATCCACAGTACAAATTGGAAAAGCACAAATATACACAACTCAACTATGAGAAATTACAGCCCAGAGCCAAACTTTAGAACACCAAGCAATCCTTTTTCCATAGACTTGAAGGAAAATTAGGTCTTAATGTTAAGTTTGTTGAGTAATCTTTAGAATCAAGTATTTGGGTTTGAAAATTCAAAAATTTGGGAGCTGGCGCTGATATAATGAGTTAACTCATTGCCTG